ACAAAGGTCACTCCTTCGAGGATGCCAATGTTCACATTTTGGACAGAGAAGACAGATCCATCCATTCAAGAAAGAGGAGTGAAAGAAGCCATCCATGTCCATCTTTGAACAGAGGCGGTGGCTTATGACACCAACTGTCTGCCATCTGGAATCCAGTTTTGAGATCCCTTCAGACACCATAAGGCCCAATCACATCCTGGGCCATTTGACCTCAGGAAGTCACATGATAGGGTGGCGCTAGGCTTCACCCAAAACCTTGGCTGATTGTGACCCACACCTGTTTTCACACCTTGGCTCGTGTGATTAGGTAGAGCAGCGGTCCCCAACCTTTTCTGCGCCACGGACCGGTTTATTCCCGACAATATTTTCACGGACTGGCCTTTAAGGTGTCGTGGAAAAATACAACAAAATAAAACTAGTACCGGCATGATAACAAAATAACGCTGAAAACCGATAAAAACCCTGAAAAGCATACATTTCACACCTGAGCCTCAACTCTCGCGTCCCGGTACCAAACAACTCACAGACCAGTAGAGGATCATTAATGGGTCCATGACTCTCTTGGGGGGACACTTCCATAGTGCTTAAATCTGGGACTCTCCACCAACTGCTCTTAGAACTGAAGAAGCTTCTCGGATGAGAGTTGAAACGTCTTCAAGGAAACTTAAAGAAATCCAGATGCTTTTCTTTCTAAGCTATTTAGACTAGGATGAGCTGGATGACTGAGAACCTTCACAGAAAAGAAATCTCTCTCTTTTTATTTTAAGTGAGTCACTCTTTTTGCTACTTGCAGTTGTCATCTTTCACTGCTCTCTGAGCTCAGCTTATTTTACCAATACTGGAGACTGCACTCTTGTAGTGGGTGCACTGCAATGCTCTATAATACATCGTCAGTTTGACTGGATGCAGAAATTGTGCTGATAGTGCTGAAAATCATAGCATTTAGATTTCAAAACACCGTGATACGTTATAATTCTGTGATACTCGCCATAGTCATATAGTTGCTATGGGACCATAGCAGCTTTGACTCTAGAAAGTTCTCAGATCACAGTATATGCTATATGGGCAAAAGTACTGGCCCACCTACATGTTACACCTTGGCAATGGAAACCATGGAACGATGCTCCTAGCACAGTTTTTGTGCTGATGTTAATGCCTGAGGAGGTCTGTGGCTCTTTAGTTAACATGTGTCTCAGCGCTCATCGATCTCTGCAAATTTTCTTTGTGGCTGAGTTGCTGTGGTTCCTAAATGCTTCCTTTTGTCAATAATTTCACAAACTAAATTGTTGCAACAATTGCATCCTATTACAGTAACACATTCAAATTCACCGACCTCTTCAGAGCAATTATTTCTTTCACAAATGTCTGTAAGGGCAAATGGGATGCCTGCGTGGTAATAGGACTGAAAACAGCTGAACTCAAAGCGGTGAGGAAAGACTTGTAAGGTGACAAAAGTATGAGCTAAAAGGGGAACATGAAAGAGGCAACACTGAAGTGAAGGTATAACCGCACAACAATATTCCACTGGGACAAAGGTGAGACAGGGCAGAGCCATCTAATCAAGGCCAGCGATAAGAAGGTCACTATGACAAGGAGCACAATCAGGGAGACTAGACAGACTGCTATTGGCATGCATGGCAGTGTGATCAGGCAAATAAACACAGAGGGAGCCACAGACAGAACAACATCGAGGTGGCACTCATAACAGCCCCGGTATGTTAGACAATACGTTTGCCAGTCAAACAATGTCATTGGGTAGTTAATCACTAGTTAACGTGCAACCCTGGTGTGTTTTACCAGGTTAATTATGCCACAAACAGAACTGCTAAACTGTATTCCCAGAGCAAGAAATGAAATCTGAAGCTCAGAATTGGCATTAAACCCTTTTTATTGTTGCTTCAGTTAATAATCAGCAATGGCAGCGCTGCATATTGGCTGATCAGGCAGTGAACATTACCCATGAGCCAAAATATGATTCACTAACCTTGACCAGGCAGGAGTTGGTCACCACCTGTTTGGGGTCTACTACGTCCACCAGGGGTTCCTTCATGGCCACATTACGGATACACGTCATGTCAAAGCCATACACGTTCTCCCACCCTGGTAAATACAGCGTCACAAAATGATTTGTTATCACATTCTAAACATATTTAGAATCAATATTTTCTTCTGTTGTATTTGCTCCAAGTTTCTATTTGGTTTATAGAGCCGGCAAAAGCCACAGGATATGTAAACATTTGGACTGAATATGAAAAAATAAATAAATAAAAATCTCTGGTTGGGGGCTTTGCTCGTCCCAGAATAGTCTCATCTAAGATCCTAGAGAGATATATCCTGACATTTTGGAATGATTTTCATTTTGACAGATGAAAGTCACATTGTATATGGCGATGAATTGTCAACACGAGCCCCTTGAACACAGGCAGCATTCTTTCCCTGAATATCCTCGTTGCTCAAGTGAAATTGGTGCATAAATTATTCACAAAGCACCTTAAGAGAGTGTGTGAGCAAACATCTCTGTTGTGGCCCAAGAGGCAGGGAAGAACTACTTGAACGCGCTGAAATACTGGTGATAATGAACAGGTCACAAACCCCCGGGGGCTTTTGTAATGCTGTGTATTTGCATTTCCTGCTGCCCACTTAACTTACTCTGCAGCCCAGAGTAGCACTAATGACTGCAGGATGCTCTTAGAATGCTGGAGTGCTACAGAAAGGCACTTCCAACTGAGATAAAGGTCGTCTTTGGCTCCGTGCCACTGGAAAAAGTTTGCCGTCAATATGTACACTTGTCTCAGCGTGACTTTGTGCATAGAGCACTTCAGAGCCACAGCGAGCTTAACTGAACTAGCCAGACATAAGAAGACCAATATGATATGATTGGCTAGATTTTATCTGGTGCACTGTGGTTGTATAATTTCCCAGATGTATGGAGGAGTGTGAGTAGGAGGCCTACTGGCAATTGTGTTGTCATTTTGGGTTGTGCGCAGACTTTATGCTGCTTTATGTCCAGCAGCAATAAATCGCCCACAGTGCTCCTTGCAGTGTTTATACAGGGGATCATACAGAGATGGAGAGGCTTGTTGACTTATAATATCAATTATCATGCCCAGTCTTGTACCTCAGGAATAGTTTAAAATTATTTGCAGAGCTGGAAAGGCTGTGTGTGTGTGCCCACAGTGGAGAGCAGAACGTGGGTGTGTTGATGGTGCTTTCTGCATCCATCCAGCAAGTCGTATTTCTGGTTACCCACGCTATGTACAGGACAAGTAAGTGGCAAAAACATGATTTTGGCATTAAACTGCACTTACAGTGTATTTTGAAGTCTTTGTACTGCCTGTCCTCTATGGCCACCACATACAGGGAGGCCCGGTCAGGAAACATTAATCCACCAGGTTTCTGGAAAAAAACCCAGAGATGAATTAGGAATGCATCAAAACTGCAAAACGTTTGACCAAAATAAAATAAAATTAACTGAAAACTAACATGTAGATCTTTTTTTTAAAAATAAATAAATAAATAAATAAATAATAATAATAATAATAAACTTTATTTATAAAGCACGACTTAAAAACCAAGGGTATGCCAAGGTGCTTAACAAGTAACATAGAGAATAGAAGGAAGATAATAGAAATAGGACCAAAGCAAGTACTAGGTATGCAAGCAGGTAGCTGTCACTGATACATAGGAAAGCAACAGGTACAGAGCAAACAAGAAATTAAATGAGCATAAAAGTGCATAATATAAAATCATAAAAGAAATATTAACTAGAGGGAAAGGCAAGATTGAATAAGTGGGTTTTTAGTCGTGATTTGAACAGTGCAATGGAATCAACCCGGGACTTCAGCCGAGATCTGTTAGCAGCGAGTGCAGACAGCTGTGAGTGTTATTAGAAATGTAATCCTGAATCTGTTCAACTGTCCTAACATTTGAGAATATTATAATTCCAGCTTTATACTTTCTGTGTTTTATTACTTTAAACATTTTGTGTCGGTCGTGGTTGCTTGGTTTGGATTTCGTAGTTTCTGAGGTTCTTCTGTTGTTCCTCTGTGTGAAGTTTAGAGTTTTGTGTTTATTGTATTTTTTTAGATTAGTGCTTTGACTTTCAAAGTTCTGATTACATTGTTGTCTCTCTTTAACCGGTCGCAGCAGATGGCCCCGCCCCTCCCTGAGCCTGGTTCTGCCGGAGGTTTCTTCCTGTTAAAAGGGAGTTTTTCCTTCCCACTGTCGCCAAAATGCTTGCTCATATGGGTTCATATGATTGTTGGGTTTTTCTCTGTATCTATGAAGCACCTTGAGGCAACTTTTGTTGTGATTTGGCGCTATATAAATAAAATTGAATTGAATTGAATATTATTTGCCGATTAGTCTCTAATTATGTGTCATGTCTATCAAAAGTGCAACACGTTTTTCACTGGACTCTATGCAGTCTGTTTCCACACTAATTAAGAAGGTAAAGTAGCAACCAGGTGCTGGTAATCACCTTTAGATGATCAGAAGTTTCTGATATGTAATAATTATGTGTGTGTGTTTTATCACAGTGCCCAGGAGGAAAGACAAAAGCAATGAATCCTGGTAGAGTTAAGGCCCTTTCAATAAAAAAAGCAGATAAATAAATAAAATGAAGACATCTTTCATTCTACAGTGAGGAAGATTATTCACAAGTGGAAAACATTCAAGACAGCTTCCCAGGAGTGGACACCAAGGCAAACTCACCTCGAGGTCAGACTGTGCAATGCTCAGAGAAATTGGAAAGAAAAAAAACACTACATCTCTCGCTCTACAGACCTCAGATTCAGAGGGCCAGGAGTCAGACTGCTAGTGGCTGTAAGGCTATTTTTCTCAAATTTTTATGTCTTGATGATGACCAGAAAGTTGAATTGTCACATTAATAGATATAATGCAGCTCGATTACTGAAGCTCTGCATAAACTGGCAAACAAACAGATAGATGAAGAGGCCTTGTACAGAATATGAAGTAAGCAGAAGTGCTGGGTATCTTACCTGTGGAAAAACCTGTCTTCTTGTGACACTTAGTAAATTCAATGTTAAAGTAAGTGACCAGTGCGTGGATGTAGTCATTCCTCTGGATCTGCAGGCAAAAAGATGATGTGAAGGACAGGTCCTCAGGTTTTACTGTGTAGATGTCCACTTCCTGTAAAAGTAAAAAAAACATTTTTTACATAAAAAAATGACAAGTTTCTTATGTGAGTCATTACATTAAGTTCTCCCTTTCACTGTGATTCAAAGAAAAGTCTCAGAAGTGTGCTTTTAGAAATGTATATGAATTCTTTAATAGAGCGCTTTGCTCTTACCTTCACCGGACCTTTTATTTATTCACACAACAAGAAATTAAACCTACCAGTTTTAAAAGGCTGTAAAAAATAAATCTGCAATACAGCGAGGACAAAACGACCAACATTAAGATGGAGCCTACAGTAAAGCTTCCACTTGGGTGGCTGTAGCTCAGGAGGTAGAGCAGGTCACCTACTGATCAGAAGGTCGGTGGTTCGATCCCTGGCATCCCATGTCAAGTATCCTTGGGCAAGATACTAACCCCCGACTTGCTCTCCAATGCATCCATATGACTGTGTGAGATTAGGTGAATGAGGCATGTTGTATAGAGCGCTTTGAGTGCTCCGTGAGAGTAGAAAAGCGCTATATAAGAATCAGTCCATTTACCTCCACAAGTAGAAGCCAGTAACCGCTGTGTAGGATAGACAAGAAGAAGGAGCTGTGCCCATACTTGTCATGATCCAAGTGTTGGGGATCATGTCATGCAAGGCTCTACAACCCAAGTCTATAAATGTCCCCTGATTCCAATCAATTTTACAAGGTCTCCCATATCATCCCAGTGAGTCATGCTAAGTGTGGAGCACGTTCCTCCTGATTCTGGTTTATTGTCAACATAAAGAATTATCTATGATTACTGCACAACAGAGGAAAGCTTACCTGAAACCTGCTACCACAGCATAAACATGAAGGCGTTTCACGTGGCATCAGTGCTAATAGATATTCACTGATGGCTTTGGTGCCAGATGCCACATTTGCTGCAGAGGAATGAGCCTTATGTTTGGTGACAATAAAACACTGCAACAATAATATCAGATTTCCCCGGCTGTCTTTAAAAAATAATTAATCCCATAAACACATTTACGAGATGTTTACTCTGGTCATGCAGTATAAACTTCTCAAAGTCACATTTCAAAGTTTAAGACAGCAATATACTGCATTGCAATGTTTATCCTCTAGCAATTACTCCTAAGGCAAAATAAACATTTTAAGAGCACCATCATACAGGTTGTTTTCTTCACCATCATACTTGCTAATGATGCTCCCCGAGTATCGTTACAGTAGTTTTCAGTCAAGGTTTAATAACACGGGGTCCTGTACGTGCTACTCCTCGGTTATACAACTTTAATGAGGTCAATCAGTAATTAATTTAAAGTCAACACAGTGACTTTGAATGGATTTGCATGTCTTTAAAAGGCCTTACACCATTAATACCACTCTTTTCAGTGTGGTATCAATGGTGTAAGGCCTTGATATAAAAACAATCCCAGAGGCAAAACAACCCTATTCCCATCAGCCTCACACACTTTTTATCTCAAGGGCTGTCTGCCTAAGTCAGTTTATACAGAGGGGGAAAACTGAAACTAAAAAACTAAGCTGCAGTGATTTAAGTTACTGGAACTACTCATATGAACAACTAGTTTGCACAAGAAGTATTGAACAGACCTTTGCTTTGATTAAAAAGACTAACATACTTATAAACGCATGGCACAACACAGAAGAGCCACGTCAGCAGGACAAGACTCGGTTGTTCACCTGCATCTAAAGGACAAAGGTCACTCCTTCGAGGATGCCAATGTTCACATTTTGGACAGAGAAGACAGATCCATCCATTCAAGAAAGAGGAGTGAAAGAAGCCATCCATGTCCATCTTTGAACAGAGGCGGTGGCTTATGACACCAACTGTCTGCCATCTGGAATCCAGTTTTGAGATCCCTTCAGACACCATAAGGCCCAATCACATCCTGGGCCATTTGACCTCAGGAAGTCACATGATAGGGTGGCGCTAGGCTTCACCCAAAACCTTGGCTGATTGTGACCCACACCTGTTTTCACACCTTGGCTCGTGTGATTAGGTAGAGCAGCGGTCCCCAACCTTTTCTGCGCCACGGACCGGTTTATTCCCGACAATATTTTCACGGACTGGCCTTTAAGGTGTCGTGGAAAAATACAACAAAATAAAACTAGTACCGGCATGATAACAAAATAACGCTGAAAACCGATAAAAACCCTGAAAAGCATACATTTCACACCTGAGCCTCAACTCTCGCGTCCCGGTACCAAACAACTCACAGACCAGTAGAGGATCATTAAGGGGTCCATGACTCTCTTGGGGGGACACTTCCATAGGGCTTAAATCTGGGACTCTCCACCAATTGCTCTTAGAACTGAAGAAGCTTCTCGGATGAGAGTTGAAACGTCTTCAAGGAAACTTAAAGAAATCCAGATGCTTTTCTTTCTAAGCTATTTAGACTAGGATGAGCTGGATGACTGAGAACCTTCACAGAAAAGAAATCTCTCTCTTTTTATTTTAAGTGAGTCACTCTTTTTGCTACTTGCAGTTGTCATCTTTCACTGCTCTCTGAGCTCAGCTTATTTTACCAATACTGGAGACTGCACTCTTGTAGTGGGTGCACTGCAATGCTCTATAATACATCGTCAGTTTGACTGGATGCAGAAATTGTGCTGATAGTGCTGAAAATCATAGCATTTAGATTTCAAAACACCGTGATACGTTATAATTCTGTGATACTCGCCATAGTCATATAGTTGCTATGGGACCATAGCAGCTTTGACTCTAGAAAGTTCTCAGATCACAGTATATGCTATATGGGCAAAAGTACTGGCCCACCTACATGTTACACCTTGGCAATGGAAACCATGGAACGATGCTCCTAGCACAGTTTTTGTGCTGATGTTAATGCCTGAGGAGGTCTGTGGCTCTTTAGTTAACATGTGTCTCAGCGCTCATCGATCTCTGCAAATTTTCTTTGTGGCTGAGTTGCTGTGGTTCCTAAATGCTTCCTTTTGTCAATAATTTCACAAACTAAATTGTTGCAACAATTGCATCCTATTACAGTAACACATTCAAATTCACCGACCTCTTCAGAGCAATTATTTCTTTCACAAATGTCTGTAAGGGCAAATGGGATGCCTGCGTGGTAATAGGACTGAAAACAGCTGAACTCAAAGCGGTGAGGAAAGACTTGTAAGGTGACAAAAGTATGAGCTAAAAGGGGAACATGAAAGAGGCAACACTGAAGTGAAGGTATAACCGCACAACAATATTCCACTGGGACAAAGGTGAGACAGGGCAGAGCCATCTAATCAAGGCCAGCGATAAGAAGGTCACTATGACAAGGAGCACAATCAGGGAGACTAGACAGACTGCTATTGGCATGCATGGCAGTGTGATCAGGCAAATAAACACAGAGGGAGCCACAGACAGAACAACATCGAGGTGGCACTCATAACAGCCCCGGTATGTTAGACAATACGTTTGCCAGTCAAACAATGTCATTGGGTAGTTAATCAGTAGTTAACGTGCAACCCTGGTGTGTTTTACCAGGTTAATTATGCCACAAACAGAACTGCTAAACTGTATTCCCAGAGCAAGAAATGAAATCTGAAGCTCAGAATTGGCATTAAACCCTTTTTATTGTTGCTTCAGTTAATAATCAGCAATGGCAGCGCTGCATATTGGCTGATCAGGCAGTGAACATTACCCATGAGCCAAAATATGATTCACTAACCTTGACCAGGCAGGAGTTGGTCACCACCTGTTTGGGGTCTACTACGTCCACCAGGGGTTCCTTCATGGCCACATTACGGATACACGTCATGTCAAAGCCATACACGTTCTCCCACCCTGGTAAATACAGCGTCACAAAATGATTTGTTATCACATTCTAAACATATTTAGAATCAATATTTTCTTCTGTTGTATTTGCTCCAAGTTTCTATTTGGTTTATAGAGCCGGCAAAAGCCACAGGATATGTAAACATTTGGACTGAATATGAAAAAATAAATAAATAAAAATCTCTGGTTGGGGGCTTTGCTCGTCCCAGAATAGTCTCATCTAAGATCCTAGAGAGATATATCCTGACATTTTGGAATGATTTTCATTTTGACAGATGAAAGTCACATTGTATATGGCGATGAATTGTCAACACGAGCCCCTTGAACACAGGCAGCATTCTTTCCCTGAATATCCTCGTTGCTCAAGTGAAATTGGTGCATAAATTATTCACAAAGCACCTTAAGAGAGTGTGTGAGCAAACATCTCTGTTGTGGCCCAAGAGGCAGGGAAGAACTACTTGAATGCGCTGAAATACTGGTGATAATGAACAGGTCACAAACCCCCGGGGGCTTTTGTAATGCTGTGTATTTGCATTTCCTGCTGCCCACTTAACTTACTCTGCAGCCCAGAGTAGCACTAATGACTGCAGGATGCTCTTAGAATGCTGGAGTGCTACAGAAAGGCACTTCCAACTGAGATAAAGGTCGTCTTTGGCTCCGTGCCACTGGAAAAAGTTTGCCGTCAATATGTACACTTGTCTCAGCGTGACTTTGTGCATAGAGCACTTCAGAGCCACAGCGAGCTTAACTGAACTAGCCAGACATAAGAAGACCAATATGATATGATTGGCTAGATTTTATCTGGTGCACTGTGGTTGTATAATTTCCCAGATGTATGGAGGAGTGTGAGTAGGAGGCCTACTGGCAATTGTGTTGTCATTTTGGGTTGTGCGCAGACTTTATGCTGCTTTATGTCCAGCAGCAATAAATCGCCCACAGTGCTCCTTGCAGTGTTTATACAGGGGATCATACAGAGATGGAGAGGCTTGTTGACTTATAATATCAATTATCATGCCCAGTCTTGTACCTCAGGAATAGTTTAAAATTATTTGCAGAGCTGGAAAGGCTGTGTGTGTGTGCCCACAGTGGAGAGCAGAACGTGGGTGTGTTGATGGTGCTTTCTGCATCCATCCAGCAAGTCGTATTTCTGGTTACCCACGCTATGTACAGGACAAGTAAGTGGCAAAAACATGATTTTGGCATTAAACTGCACTTACAGTGTATTTTGAAGTCTTTGTACTGCCTGTCCTCTATGGCCACCACATACAGGGAGGCCCGGTCAGGAAACATTAATCCACCAGGTTTCTGGAAAAAAACCCAGAGATGAATTAGGAATGCATCAAAACTGCAAAACGTTTGACCAAAATAAAATAAAATTAACTGAAAACTAACATGTAGATCTTTTTTTTAAAAATAAATAAATAAATAAATAAATAATAATAATAATAATAAACTTTATTTATAAAGCACGCTTAAAAACCAAGGGTATGCCAAGGTGCTTAACGAGTAACATAGAGAATAGAAGGAAGATAATAGTAATAGGACCAAAGCAAGTACTAAGTATGCAAGCAGGTAGCTGTCACTGATACATTGGACAGCAACAGGTACAGAGCAAACAAGAAATTAAATGAGCATAAAGGTGCATAATATAAAATCATAAAAGAAATATTAACTAGATGGAAAGGCAAGATTGAATAAGTGGGTTTTTAGTTGTGATTTGAACAGTGCAATGGAATCAACCCGGGACTTCAGCCGAGATCTGTTAGCAGCGAGTGCAGACAGCTGTGAGTGTTATTAGAAATGTAATCCTGAATCTGTTCAACTGTCCTAACATTTGAGAATATTATAATTCCAGCTTTATACTTTCTGTGTTTTATTACTTTAAACATTTTGTGTCGGTCGTGGTTGCTTGGTTTGGATTTCGTAGTTTCTGAGGTTCTTCTGTTGTTCCTCTGTGTGAAGTTTAGAGTTTTGTGTTTATTGTATTTTTTTAGATTCGTGCTTTGACTTTCAAAGTTCTGATTACATTGTTGTCTCTTGCTGATTTACTTTGCGGCTTCTAGTCGTGAGTTTTAGTTTTGCTTCTGTTTCTGTCACACCTCCCTCCGTCTCAGACTGTATTCATGCCTCGGTCCCTTTTGTTTACTTGCCTCATACATCTTGTTTAGCGTTAGTATTCGTGTCTCCCTCGCTAATAAAACATTTTACTTTGAAGCGTCTTATGTGAGCTTCCTGTCTGTCTCCCCCTGACTTCACGATTGTTTTCACCTGTGTCCCTAATCTTCTCCTTTCCAGATCATCTGTTAATACTCCCTGTTGTGCTGCTGATATTTTCGTCAATGATCAACAGCTCGTGTTTATTTAACTCCATCTGCCTACGTGTTCTTCATAAGCGTATCAGGTATCTTGGTGACTTGTGTTGTTGTAGGATACACACAAACGCACACAATCCAGACGTCTTACCAGCCACTTGTCCCTGGCAAAGATGACAGTGTTGAGCATGGATTCATAGAAGAGGCAGTAGCCCATCCATTCAGATATGATGATGTCAACTTTTTCAACAGGAAGCTCCACTTCCTCAACCTTGCCTTTGAAAATGGTGATAACTGAAACACACAAAACATTTTAAAACCGTAATATAATAAAGTTTAAATGAATCTTTAAGTCTTTACAATAACATGTGGGAGTTCTGGGGGCTAAAAAGTATAAGGTAAAGTATATTTTAGGGGACGTATGGAAGTTGTATTATTAGTTGTTTGTTACTTTTATTATTATTAAAATTATTCTTATTATTTTGCTGGGTGAAGGAATAGCTGCACCATCTGTTAAACCACTTCCAACAAAAACGTAGTTTATTACTAGTAATTTTAGAAAAGAAACTGTGAGTGGTGACACACCTGTTCATGCTTTGTAGGCTAACACAGCAGCCATTGTGTTGTTATGAAAATGAAACCAGCTGGGGACTGCGGTGGAGGAGTCGATCTTCGCCCTGCCTGAGATTAGCTGACTTCAGCTTTGTTTGTTCTGCTTTGGAAAGAAGCGACTGAAGAGTTTCCCTGATTATACAGATGTCTTCACAATGACACGTCAACCCTGTTACTCCAACTGCTGATTGCTTATTTGCTTTCCAGAACTCAGTAAACACACCGATAACTCTTTTCTTCGGTTACTTAAGCATACTTGTTATTCATAGGTTTAGAAATAAACGGGGCATTTGCTGACAGGGTGGTTTACAGCTCCATTATCTGGTAGGTGCAGAGTCAGGGGCTTGGCAGGAAATTTGACGCGCAGCAGGTGCTCTGATCATAACATACACTTTGAAGTTACACAGGATGGAAGCATATTTCTGCTAATGAATACAAATGAGCCAGTGTAAAGAACAAAGATGAAGGAATATCCACTCAAAAATGTGCTGGGTCATAAACGGTGTTCCAATCACTTCCATGGCCACAGGCAGTGTTGGGGAGTAACGGAATACATGTACCGCCATTACGTATTTAAAATATGAGTAACTGTATTCCGTTACAGTTACAATTTAAAAAGGTGGTATTTAGAATACAGTTACTTTGTTGAAA